ACTTGTTTGGTGCAGTCAGTCGGGTGTGAGCTACGGTTGAGAGAAAGTGTGTTTTAAAGTGTGCTGTAAATCATCCTCCATCATGACAACGCTCCGTGTCACACATCGCTTCTGGTACAACAATTTCTGTCAAATAAAAACATGGTGTGTCCTCATACACCTTATTCACTGGATCTGGCACCATGTGACTTCTGGCTCTTCCCTAAAGTCAAAATGATTCAGGACATCGAGGCAGTCATGAAAGTGCAAAGATATTCACAAAAGAGGACTTCCAGAACTGCTTCAGAAAGTGGCAAGAATGATAGGATAAGTGTGTTTGAAGCGAAGGGGTGTATTTTCAAGGGATTTAATGGCAGTGTGTTTTTTACTGTGATAAATTTTTTGTATTTAAACACTTTTTTTATCACACCTCGTAAATTATGCTTCAATAAAGATGATCCCAAAAAATTTAAAAAAGAAGGTTAGAAAGGCATTTCAGCAGTGTGGTGAAAAGCAGAGAGAATAGAACACTGGAGCAAGTATTTTAATTTAAGCAGAATTATATGAAGTATTCTGGGAGATGCATTTTATTTTATAGTTATAATCATTATTATGGATTCCTTACTTTCTACTGTTAATTAGTTGGAGTGATGACATAAGCAAGGCTTTGTAATATACCCTAAAAGAAGATAATTTTAAATAAAGATAAAATTAGATCATTGCAGAATAACTCAGTTTTCTTATCCACCCTATCCTCTCTTTGTTTGTTTTATTTTAACAGAAGTCCATATAATGCTTGATGGCTTGTTACCTCCTGACACCTATTTTAGATTCAACCCTGTAATGTGTGAAAACATACCTCTAGATGAAAGTCGAAATGAAAAGCTGGATCAGCTGCAGTTGGAAGGGTTGAAGTACATAGAAAGAAATGAAGAAAAAATGAAAAAACTTGCAAAAATATTAAGTCAAGAAAAAACAACTCTGCAAAAAATTAATGATTGGATTAAACTGAAAACTGACATGTATGAAGGCCTTCCATTCTTCTCAAAACTGTGATGAGTATATGTATAAATTCTCAGAAATGAAGGCTTGTTCAAGATCCACCAAATTCAATAAGGAATTGTAGGATTCAGCATGAGTTAACTTGAAAATCCTGAACGAATCCTAAGGAATCCTGAAAAGACCGGGCCTGGACCAGCTGTCACAGCACAGAGGGTATGCTCAGTTACAGAACTCATAAGGGAATGCTTATGGGAAGTCATAGGTTTTTATGATGTTAATAATTGTGCTTTAGGAATCTTATTGTGCTAGTTTTAGTAGATATTGGTGTTACATTGTTTGATGTTTGAAAATTTATTAATATATGTGCCAAACAAGAACTGAAAATAATACTTGGTATTTTTGCTTTAGTCACCATAATCATGTTGAATTTATTTGATCATTGATTTTCTTCCATATGGNCAAAAGTTGATATACTGGATTTTTCACTGTCAAATTTTGTCAAAGCAATAAAATATCCTTACTGTAATCACTCTTCTGAGAAAAAGAGAGCTTTAATCATCCAGTCTCCTAATACTTATACCTTGTGCAAACCCTATGATGGGCTCATTTGAAATTTTCGAGAAACATGAAATGCTATCTTCATGTACTTACACCCTAGTTAATGAAGAATTTATATGGATATGCAAAGGACCTACGTTAGCCAAAACAATTTTGAAAATAACAAAGCTAGAGGACTTATACCTTCTGATTTCAAGACTACAAAACTACAGTAAGCCAGGGACTATGTGATTTGCATCAAGATAGACATAAAAACCAGTGGTTCATAATAGAGAGTACAGAAATTAATCTGTAGAAGCTCAACAGATTTTTGGCAAAGGGTAACTGAGTGAGAAAAAGACAGTGTTTTCAATGAATGGTACTGGGACAGTTGCTCAAGTTTCAATTTTTTTTAATATAGTTATCTAATTGTCCCAGTACCATTCTTGACCCTTCACACCATATACAAAAATTAACTTGAAATGGATCATAGACCTAAATTTAAGAGCTAAAACCATAATAAAACTTCTAGAAGAACACCCTGGAGAAAATATTACTGGCCTTGGGCTAGGTAAAGATTTTTTAGATCGGACATAGAAAGCATAAACCAAAATAGAAAAAATGGGTAAATTAGACTTCATCAAATTACAAATTTTGCTCTTCAGAAGACATTTTTATAAAATGAAAAGACAAGCTACAGACTGAAATAAAATATTAGCAAAACATGTATCTGAACCATTGTCAGAACCAAATATATAATCAGATCCAAAACATATGGATACTTCTTACATTATATACATAAAGAATATGTAAAGGCGAAAACAAGAAATTCAACGAAAAAAATGGGCAAAATATTTGAGTAGACACTCCATTGAAGAAGATATACAGATGACTAATAAGCACATGAAAGACTTCTCAATATCACTAGTCATTAGGGAAATGAAA